TTTCCACCTGACTTTCTGCAACTTGAATTTCTTGGACTTCACTTTCTGTTGTCTCATTTTCTCCAGTCTGACTTTGGACGATGTCATCCTCAATCCGCTGCTTTGTATTTTAGACTTTCTAAGTGTATATGTGAGGGCGTATGTGTTTTTCACTCCTCTATATCGAGTAGAGTCCACTTACAGTCGTCAGGACCTTTTGAGTTTGAGACTACGCTGTGCAAGGATCAGACTATCACCACTTCCATGGCATTACGTAGACATAATAAGAACTCCAGAGACTCCGTAGTTGGTTCTTCCCAGTGGCAAACCAAAGAGAAAATGTAAACAACGGAGGCAAAAGCATGGCTGCTGGGCTGCCCACTAGAAACAAACATTTAAGCCACTGCTTCCAAGTATTTTCCTGTCCAACAAAACAGACGAATCAACAGGTGCGTAGGGACAGCAGCGTTATAATGCTCACAGAGACTTGGCTGCAGCAAAACACACTGGATAAAGCCTACAGCAACATCTACCACATTGGTTTGTTAGACCACAGTTCCCTGCTGATCCCTGCATGCACGTTAGGAGGAGAGCCCCCCAGCCACGAAGAAAACCTGGCCAGAAGGTGCATCACATCAGCTGCAGGACTGGACGGTGTTTGAACACAAGGACCTCGAAGAGCACACAGCATCAGTGCTCTCGTATATTAACTTCTGTACCAACAGTGTCACTGTGGACAAACGTCTCCGGGTGTATTGTAACCAGAAACCCTGGATGACTAAAGAGGTCCAAGTCCTGCTGAAGTAACGTGACGCCGCTTTCAGATACGCAGTACAGTGCAGCCAGATCTGAGTCAACAGAGAGGCCAAGGCAGCGTACAAGAGAAGGCTCTAAGACCACTTCAGCAACAACAACTCAGGACAGGTACGGCAGGGAGCACACCACCATCTCTCACCTGGAACAACAGAGGCGTTACGCCAGGCTGCTCTTTCTCGACTTCAGCGCTGCTTTTAATTTGATAATCCACAGACAGACTAATAGTAAAACTGCTGGATATCGGACTTCCTTCTACCACCTGCAGCTGGATCAGAGACTTCCTCTGAGACCGTGGATACAGTGTTACACGTACACTCGTTCTTTTTATTTTTTCATTTTTTGTATTTATACCTACCGTGTTGTGTTGTTTGTGTTGTGTTGTGTTGTGCATAATGCCGACGTGGGACTGACAAAAAAGAGAGATCTTATCTTATGCTAACACAATAATTTGGTCCTGGACTCTCTTTAAAAAAACCCAAAGTAACAGCATCTTAGAGGAAGTCTTGGAAAAGGCAGCTCACCTGGTGTGAGGCTCTCTGCTGTCTTTACTGTCCTCTCTTCCTGGATCTCTTTGGTCTTCCAGCTCATGGTTTGAATCTGGTTCTGGTCTTCAGTTTGAATCTGACATTGCTGCCTTTGTGTTATGTTTTGGGTTTGAACTTTGACCATGGAGTAAGTTTGGGTTGCACATCTCGACTCTGACTGACCGGTTTCTGTTTCATATTGTTTTTGGTGCTCAGCTGTAACTTGAGCTTCAGCCTGTATCTGACTTCTACTTTGGCTCAGGCTCGAGGGTCCAGACAGTCTAGCAGAAACCACCGATTGGTTCCGTCCACTACCGGAGCGTTTTTGATGCAGGGGGACCTTCATGGTGCTGGCTTTGGCGCTGTACATGCGAGCCAGTGTTTGGACCTTGCTTAGAATACGCTCTGAGTTTTCTATCAGCACAGGGTCTACCACAGGGTTCGCCTCGAATAACCCGATACCAGCCACATCCGATCCCATGGTCTCAAACAGGGCTCGGTTAGCAGT